GGACAATTCGGTTTTATCCAAATAATGAACAGTCCTAGTAGTAGAGGTGAAATAGTCCCCAGTGTTCGGTTGTCAGGACCGACGGGTACGTCAGCACCCCAAAATAGCTTCTCCCGGGAATGTCAGGACCCCAGAATGGCTTGACACGGGTACGTCAGCACCCCAGAATGGCTTGAAATGGGTAGGTTGGGCACCCCAGAAATTCCCGGCAATATGTATACTATGAGATCATATGGTATGTGGTATGACGGGGGAACTCACTAAGCTTTGTGATTACAGTTTCAGTTTTGGTGTTAGGTACCTCGTCATCCAAGGGGAAAGAGTTAGCGGCGTAGCAGCGAATCACACACCCACACACTTGGTTTCCGCAATGAGTTTTCTCGAATTGTACTATGATTTATCCTATTACTGATGTTTGATTTTGAGACATGTTTATGATGGTTATGGATTATTATGTTTTCATCCGTGTTTTTAGTAAACCATTTTATTATTTACTTAATTAGAAAACGAAATTTTTGGACTCGAATTTTGGGGTGTTACACAATGATGCCGACATACCTTGGTTTCAACAATGTTGGAAAACACAATAAACTAAAAAACGAGATATATATTTAATCTAAACACGAGCAGAAACCTTGGTTGCGATGTGCTATTGGCTAGCTGTTGTGGGTAAATAATACGTCAACAACGATAGCTATGAGGAAGGAGGAGGACATCGATATTTGTTGCGTCTTGTTCACGTTGTGAGGAAGAAAAGGGTCGGTTGTTTGCTAGTGAATCGAACGTGAAACAAAAATGTCGATTATTTATGTGTTGATGGTGACAAAGGGGATAGTGGTTTTTATAGGGTTTAAAAATTGATTGCAATTTTATAGGGATGTGATGTGATTTTAATTTTGGAATTTATTTACTATACATGTAATATTACTAATTTACACTTATTGATTTATTTAAAAATTTAATTTTGCTAAATTCTCATTGGTCCATATGTGCAAACAATACTTGTTGAAAACATATGAACTTAACTCTCTCTCTCTCTCTCTCTCTCTATATATATATATATATATATATATATATATATATATATATATATATATATACAGGCCGTTCCTGACGGTGGGCAACCTGGGTGACAGCCCAGGGCCCACGTCTCCAAAGGGCCAAAAATTTATGGGCTTTATTGTTTACATATATATATATATATATATATATATATATATATATATATATATATATATATATATACACACACACACACACACACACAAAATTATTACCTAAATGAATTTTAGGGACTAAAGTTAGTTCAAACTCAAATTAGCTCAAAAGATATACAAAATTATTACCTAATTGTTATTGCTAATTGAATACGTCTATAACGAAGAATAAATGATTTTTTTGAATATTTATTATATTTGTCTTTGAAGGACCTTTTTTTTCTTTTCGCCCCGGGCTCATATACGTTTGAACCAGTCTTATATATATATGAGGGTTCAATTGAGAAAAAAAAGGTTGAGAATGGGGGAATCATTCTCAACCACTCATTTATTTTTGCCGCAAAAGCTTTCGTCGTACCTGCGGAAATGGGAAAGGAATAGACTCGTGTTTTCCAACAAAACATGTTTCCTTAAACTATGCTAAGCATTACCTTAATATATACAAAAACATAGTTTTTTCGTTTTTTTATTTTTATTTTTATTTTTAAGAAGCTATTTTTATCGAAAAATGATTTTAAATATACCAAAATTCATGATTTTTTATTCTCTACAAATAGACATCTATATTGATATAGTTTCAAGATAATTTTTTTTTTTTTTTACATTTTCAGCTATCGTTATTCATAAGTGAATAAAAATGAATTATGTTTTTACTATAATACATTCGTTATTCACTTATGAATAAAAACAATGATTAATTTTTTTTTACAATTTAAGTATCATTCATATATGAATATAACATATACTAAACATAGTATATTCATATTTAAATATTAGATGATGCATTCACTTGTGAATATTACATAATATATTCACTTGTAAATATTAGATGATATATATTCATTTATGAATATTAGATAATATTTTCAAATCTGAATATTACATAGTATTACATGGTATATCAAATGTAAATATTACATAGTATATTCACTTGTGAATATTAGATGATATATTCACTTACGAATATTACACAGTATATTCACATATGAATATTACAATGTGTTTTCACAAATATATATATATATATATATATATATATATATATATATATATATATATATATATATATATATATATATATTATATGTTATTCACATATAAATAACATACAGAATTGCATATTTGTTTTTTTTGTTTTAATAATCATATACGGATTCAGGTGAGAAAACATATTCATATATGAATATAACGTGGTAATTTAGTTTATGCATTTCATCAAACAGTTGGAGTGCATACAATTTAACTTGAGTACATTACACGAATGGTCCCTATGGTTTGGGGTAATTTGCGCATTTGGTCCGTAAATTATTTTTTTAACTCGGAAAGTCCCTACTGCTTGTTTTTGTTACGCGCTTGGTCCCTACTATTTTTTTTGTTACGCGTTTGGTCCCTATCTTACATAAAAAGACTATTATTTAAATAGGAAAAATGGTGGGGTAGGTAAGGTAAGGTGAGGGGGTGGGGTTGGGGTGTGTTTATTTAAATAAATTAAAATATCAAGGGCAAAATAGTTTTTTTTTGGATAAGACAGGGACCAAACGCGTAACAAAAACAAACAGTAGGGACCTTCCGAGTTAAAAAAATAAGTTAGGGACCAAACACGTAAATTACCCTAAACCACAGGGACCATTCGTGTAATTTACTCATTTAACTTTTATAAAAATGTTAAAAACATGATACTTTGACTATTTAAATCTTACAAAATAGTAGATAGATAGAGAATTATATGAAGTTTTTCAAAAAAAAAACGATTTGATCTTTTTCTAAACTCAATTTTGAAGTTTTATTTGAGAATCAATGTTGAATGAATGATATGAAGTGGATATTTTGTTGATTATCGATGATGTTGATCTAATAACGTTGGGAGTATAATTAATCGTAGATGTTGAAAATTTGATCGTATTCAAGCAGAATTGAAGGCTTGAATAAAAGAACCAAAAACGAATTTTTGTTGTTAACTGTTGAATCGTGTTGATAAACATGTTATTGACGAAGATTGATGATTGATTAACACCGGATGATGGTTTAACTGAAGAAATCTGGATGATTGTTGAAGGTTGGAGGAGAAATTTGGATGATGAACGATCGAAATTTCTATACAGTTACGTATTTGAGATTAAAGGTTATTATCATATTTACAAGTTTGCCACCGTGTCTTTTTATGCTTAGATTAAATGAGTGGCTGAGAATGATTCCTCCATTCTCAACCTTTTTTATTTTCTCAATTGAACCCACCTCTCTCTCTCTCGCTCGCTCGCTCTCTCTCTCTCTCTCTCTCTCTATATATATATATATATATATATATATATATATATGTATCCGTCTCTCTTTTCACCTCAAACATCATCCAACTCAACTAAAGACCTATTACTTGCACCCCAAACAAAATAGACCATACATATCTAGGTTATAAAACATTTACATCATCTTAAACCTCTTTTAGCAGCATTATCCATTAGATTCATTTTTCACCTTTAGTGTTCTTGAGTTCCAAGCAACTCAAAATGCTCAAACACACCATTAATGCCTACATAAACACTTGAAAACAAGTGCACCACCATAAACACAATAAACCCTCCCTCTTTTTATACAACCAAATGCGAGATTCAACCACTAGCAGTTGATATATTATAAAGTTAGGTGAAGAACTTAATACCTCAATTCGGAGAAGCAAAACCTATAAAACTTGTGTAGCAATGCAAAACCTGTGAATTTATTGATCATCAATGCTGACTGAACTCAACTTGAATAGTTCGATATATTAAAATACAAATTTAGTTTGATTCGTTGATTAACATTGTTGTAGGATGTTTTTGTATTTCTCATCCGAATCTTTTGAATTTGCTTTTTTCAAACCTATTTGTTTTCTTAATCGTTGTAAACTCTTTATACACAGTTATTTGTGCCTTTCTGATGACAAGTACTCATGAAAATTTGCACCAATCTCTTTTCTTGGGTGGTAAAGAGTAGGAATAACACTAGAGTTTAATCATATATCTGCAAGTAAGAAAAAGAAACAATGAGTAGCTGAAGATGACAGCAAATTTTGCTTTTATTTACTTCATGGTATGTGCTTCAAGAATGCCCATTAATAATCTCATTAAAATTCTCAACCCTACCAATTAAGTTTCTAGTATTTTTCCATACTTGAGTCCAACATTTACTAACATAATCTAGGTTAAGTCACTCTTATCCCATTAACACTGTGATAAACCTACATAATGATACCAATGAATCTGAAACATTAAAATCAACATCTTCAACCAACATACTTAGATCAGTCATCAGTGAGTAGCTTCCTATTTGATTCATATGTTAACATCTTCAGAGAAATCATGTTCTTCTTTTGCATCTTCTTCATATATATGATGAACAATTATATTCTTGAATACTACCTGACAGATAGTCAATTGGTTTAGATGGTCATCACCATTCAACCTAACAGATAATGGGGGTATTAGAACTTTCACATCATCATGGAGAATACATCAAGGAATAGTGAATTAAAAGGCCATTAATAGGCAATTAGGAAACATGAAAATATAATTTACCTTTAATATTTACTTCACATTATGGGGTGTTTGGCTTAGTTTTTTAGAGGCCAAAAGTCATTTTCCAAAAAGTTACAAAAAGTCAGGTTTTCCTGACTTTTCCAAAAAGTTGATTTTTCTTCTATCCAAAATCCAAAAGTTGCTTTTAAAAGTCTTTTGGCAAACATCTTTTGGCTTTGATCTTTTACTAAAAAGTTCTTTTGGTTTATGAAAAGCTAAGCCAAACACCCCCTTAATCAGCATTTTGGTCTTTTTTGAATTCCTGCATAAAGTACATAAATATAAAGTTAAAAATATAGGTTGTGGCGTATGACAATAACAAAAAAAACTTACATGAAAATTTCCAAATGTTGTTTAAGAATTATTGAAGAAAGAAAGATCTAGTTTACCTCTTGTTTGATATTTATGAAGGATTTGATGTCTTCACCTGCATAAAATGTGCCAAAATTTGTTTCTATATCTTTTAGCTTCGGAGTAGCTGAATTTCCCTTGGTGAAAGTCCTTATTGCTAGGCATTCCACAATTCTTAAAGTATCCAATAATGGGAATGAAAAATCCTCCTTTGCCAAGCTAAACCCTTTAAGACATGGAAGGTATTTTAATATCAAGGACTTTAGACGAGGTAACACAAGTATCTCCTTATTCATCTTGCCATCAGATTCTTTCTCTTTGTCTTCTTCTACAAAAACATCTGCATCCTTAACAATCGCCTCCTCCATATGGTTGCACCAACTAATATCTAGCTCTTGGAGTTGCAATAGACTACCAACCATGGAACTATTAAATACATGTTCTAACCTAAAGCAATAACTAATTTGAACTCTTGTTAGGTTTGGAAACTCAAATGCTGTCCACCTGTTGCTCTTCCATATATACCTCAGACAATCCAATTCGTGCAACTCCACTTGTGTCAGGTTTGGAAGTTTGACAAGAGTAGTGGTTTGACGATTCATCAAAACCACTACTACTATTTATATTTGTCCCTGCGTCCAATTCTTCAAATACCTCCTCTACCCGATACAATAAGCTTACATTAATCTTTTCCAGCTTTTTCAGTTGTAGCAACTCACTAGATGGGATAATCATTCTATAACCATATCTATGTGTCACATTTAATTCGAGCAAATTATGAAAAGACCATGGTATCCCTTCTGAAGTAGCAGGGTATGAACTCAAGAATGGGGTCTGCAACTCCAGTAAAGAAAACGTAAAGGCATCTGTTAAACAAAAAGCCCATGAAATGTGATATGTTAGAGAAAAACGAAAAAAAGGGTTATTGGAAATCTGGATTACAAACAGGAATCGTGTAAACACTTTCCTTGTTTAATATTTCGACCCTATATGCCTTGGGTATCACGAAATCCAAACTTAGGATAATTCCTGATGCAACAATTCTGATTATAGGCACAAAATCAGAGTCAATTGAAGAAGATGAATTAAGAAGCGTTTCCCAGTTTTCTGTGTTTCAATGAAGTCGTTTTCCCGGAATTTATCCACTCAACGGATAAAGAGATCAGTTGACATCTTTCAAGAATAACATATTAGTCCTTGAGTTTGAATCTTTCAATATTGACAGATTAGTCCTTGTACTATAGATTAAGGTTCAGTACTAACAATGTTTAGTAAATACAAGTGTGCACTCCTACACCTCCTAACTTATATTATAACTAAAACATTGTTCTTGAAACACTAGTTAAATCCATTACACTAAAATATATTTGGTGATAAAATCACCAACAATACTCCCCTATTTTAGTGTAATCCTTGAATTAACAAACTTAAAACAAAAAGAAACGAAACTAATGCATAGATGAAAATATCGATACGATTGAATTTTCATGTTAGTATATTACACATTTCAAACATTCAAGAAATCAAGGTATCTTAAAGATTGAACCCATCAACTCGTTTGAATATCTGAAGATAATATACACATTAGTTTAACGATCATCTAAAACAAAATAACTTGACACTAACTATAAAGTTGTGTGTCCCAATCCATTCTTGATCGTATAAAAGCCAAGTCCCAAGATCTTTGAAGTACGGCTATACTTCACGATCATATAGGTGATTCTTTCATTAATGTACCTGTATACATTTTATCAAAAGAATCATTAAGAAATCAAATTCATCCTGGTCTCTATAGGTTCAAACACACGTACCTTGGGATGTTTTAATGTGTGTTTCAATTCATATAAATAACCTTTCCTCATTGAATTCAACCTCTAACATTGTATTAGAGGGGAATTGGGTGTCTTATTCATAAGAATTTATTAGGACTTTAAGACCATCCCTATAACAGACTTGTGCACTAAGTCTCGCGCCAAACTCTTAGTGAGATGGTCCGCCAAATTTTGTTGTGATTTTACAAACTCAATCGAAATCACACCATCCATGATTAGATTTCTAATCACCCCATGTCTAACATCAATGTGTCTCGATTTACCATTATAAACCTGACTATAAGCTTTACTCAAAGTAGAAACACTATCACATCGGATAGATAATGGCGAAATCGGTTTCCTCCACAATGGAATCTCATAAATCAAATTCTTTAACCATTATGCTTCCTTTCTTGCAGCAGCCAATGCAATAAACTCAGATTCCATTGTTAAAATTGTTATACAAGATTGCTTTTTAGATGCCCATGATACAGCACCTCCACCAAGTAAGAATACCCAACCAGTTGTAGAAGAGTGATCTTCTCTATTGGATATCCAACTTGCATCAGAATATCCTTCCAAGACCGAAGGAAATCCTGAATAACACAAACAATAATCCTTGGTTCCTTTCAAATACTTGAAAACACGATGAACCGCTTGCCAATGTTGAGTACTAGGATTATGAGTAAATCTACTCAATCTTCCCACTGCGAAAGCTATATCTGGATGAGTGCTAGTCATAACATACATCAAAGAACCAATAGCTTGCGAGTACTCAAGTTGAGAAACTGCTCTGCCTCTATTAGGCATCAACTTCATGCTTGAATCCATAGGGGTACTAACAGGTGTACAATCACTATAATTGAACCGTTTGAGAATTTTCTCAATGTAATGTGACTGTGTAATAGCAAGTCCCTTTTTCACCCGTTTTATCCTTATTCCAAGGATTACATCCGCCTCCCCCATATCCTTCATGGAAAACTTTGAAGATAACAAATTCTTAGTTGCATTAACTTGATTTTGATCAGTGCCAAAAATCAGCATATCATCTACATACAAGCAAATGATCACACCAGATCCAGATGAATCAAAACGGCTGTACACACAGTTGTCATATTGGTTTAAAGAAAAACCATTAGACAAAATAACTTCGTCAAACTTCAAATGCCATTGTTTTGGAGCTTGTTTAAGTCCATACAATGATTTCACAAGTCTACACACTTTTTGCTCATTTCCAGGCAAAACAAAACCTTCTGGTTGCTTCATATAAACTTCCTCATGAAGATCACCATTCAAAAAAGCTGTTTTAACATCCATTTGATGAATTACTAGATTGTGAATAGCTGCCAAAGCTAGCAACAATCTAATGGTAGAAATTCGTGCTATCGGTGCATACGTATCAAAATAATCGTTATCGGCCTTTTGTCTAAAACCTTGTATGACCAGACGAGCCTTGAATTTATCAATGGTTCCATCTACCTTTATTTTCTTCTTGAAAATCCATTTACATCCCAAAGGTTTAGAACCAGGAGGTAAATCAGATAACACCCAAACATTGTTCTCCATAATGGATGACATTTCTTCATCAACCGCTTCTTTCCAAAATGCAACATCTCGAGACTCCATAGCTTCCTTAAAAGTCTTTGGATCGGTCTCAAGATGAGAGGAATATGAGTACTGGTTCTCCACTTTATCCCTCGATCCTTCAACCAGAAATAGTTGAAAATCCTCGCCAAAATTTTACTCGACCTCGTTTGCTTTTACGAAGTTGTTGTGTTTCTGGAATTGAAACAACTTCCTTAACATCTTATTTAGGCACCTCACTTGTGCTTGGAATCAGATCCTTTGGTCTTTGAACTGAAGAATATCGCAGCTCATCAAAGATCGCATCTCGCGATTCTATGATGGTATGAACATAATATGCCTCATTAGGTTCTATAACATAAAACCTATAAGCTTTGGAATGTTCTGCATATCCAATAAATATGCAGTCAATTCCTCTTTCACCCAAAATTTTCTTTTTAGGTTCGGGTAATTTCACAACTGCTCGACATCCCCAAATTCGAAAATAACTCAAATTTGGTGCTTTCTTGTGCCAAAGTTCATAAGGAGTAACTTTGTTCCGTTTATTAGGAACCCAGTTTAGCACATAATTAGCTGTGAGGATAGCTTCACCCCAAAAGCCTTCACCTAAACCCGAAAAAGAAAGCATCGAATTTACCATTTCTTTTAAAACTTGATTTTTCGTTCAGCAATACCATTTTGTTGTGGATTGTAAGGATATGTGGTTTCATGAATGATTCCAACCGATTGAACGTATTAAGAATCCATGTACTCTCCTCCCATATCCGTCCTAAGACATTTTATCGAAAAACCCAACTGTAATTCGACTTCGGTTTTATATACTTTAAACTTTTCCAAAGCCTCATTTTTAGAATGTAACAAGTACACACAACAAAACCGACTTGAATCATCAATAAAATTAACAATGTACTCTTTATTTCCCAAGGAAGGTGTAACATGGAAATCACATAGATCACTATGAATTAATTCCAACACTTCTGTTTTTCTATTAACATTTGAAAACGGTTGTTTCGTGATTTTAGTTAACATACAAGTTTTGTATTTTTCAGAATTAATATCAAAAGCTGGAATCAATCCGGATTTTAACATTTCAATCATTCTCTTAACATGAACATGTCCTAATCTATTATGCCATAACATAGTATTATCAAGATTAGATGCAGAAGTCATACAAGTAGATTTGACATGTGATGCATAACTTATAATATTTAACTTAAAAACATGATCACAATAATAACCAAATCCCACAAATATTCCACACTTAGACAACACATACTTGTTTGACTCGATAACTTGTTTATAACCCATACAATTCAACAAACCACTAGACACAAGGTTCTTTCGAACCTTTGGTACATACAATACATCAAACAAACTAATTGTTTTTCCAGAAGTAAACAAAATACTAACACCAGTTCCTAAAATTGGCTTTGATCCTTCATCCGCCATGTGTAAGACATAACGTTTATTTACTAGGTTCAACTTCGTGAACCACCGTTCATCATTACACACGTGATGTGTAGAACATGTATCAAGCCACCATGAATCTGTATCAACCCCCTGTACAAAAGAAGCTTCTGGAGTTAGTAGCATAACATTAAATACCGAACTTACAAGATCAATAGTAATTTGACCTTTGGTTGCAGATTGATCATGAGATCCACTGCCACCACCAGCATCTTTTCCACTACCACTTGCACCTTTGTTTCCAAGTTTCACCCGACAGTCACGTTTCATATGCCCTTTCAGATGGCATCTCCAACACACAAGTTCCTTGGAATCCTTGTGTTTTTTGTTGGAATTTTTGTTGTCACCCTCATACTTACGTTTTTTACCCTTGCCCTTGTGATTAGAATTGTCTTCTTTATCACAATCAACCATATGAACTTGGGGCTGTCCAAATTCAGATTTACCCTTTCCAGTTCCTTTATCATTCTCTTGATCACGAAGTCCTTCTTCGATTTTCAAATGACTCCCAAGTTGAATCAAACTTATCTCTTCCTTTCTATTTTTCAGATGGTGCTTGAAATCTTTCCATGAGGGTGGAATTTTATCAATCACACTTGAAACAGCAAAGGATTCATCCATGGACATGTTGTGTTTTTTTGAATTGACCATAAATTCGTAGGATTTCATTATATTGTTCCATTATAGATCGAGAATTAACCATTTTATAATTGTTGAAATCAGAAATAATGAACTTTTTACTTGAAGCATCTTCTACAATATAATTTGCTTCAAGTGTGTTCCATAATTCACTTGCAGTTTCAATATTTTGATGAGTGTCAAAAAGGGAATCACACATACCATTAAGAATGTGATCGAGGCAGATGTAGTTATCATTCTCCCATTTGATTCTCCTTCTGATCTGTTCCAGACTTGCATCTTCAACCTTTTCTGGTTTTGGAGTAGAAAGAACATACACAACCTTCAAAGTGGTCAACCAGAAGTGCATCTTCTTTTGCCAACGTCTGAAATCTTGGCACTGAAATTTCTCCAATTCACCAAACGAAGTATTCATGTCTTTCAGTGAATTGCCAACCATCTTTTCCAGAAAACAAAAATATCAAACAAGATTGCTAGAGAAAAACGAAAAAAAAGGGTTATTGGAAATCTGGATTACAAACAGGAATCGTGTAAACACTTTCCTTGTTTGATATTTCGAACCTATATGCCTTGGGTATCACGAAATCCAAACTTAGGATAATTCCTGTTGCAGCAATTCTGGTTATAGGCACAAAATCAGAATCAATTGAAGAAGATGAATTAAGAAGTGTTTCCCGGTTTTTTGTGTTTCAATGAAGTCGTTTTCCCGGAATTTATCCGTTGAGTGGATAAATTCCGGGAAAACGACTTCATTGAAACACAGAAAACTGGGAAACGATTCTTAATTCATCTTCTTCAATTGATTCTGATTTTCTGCCTATAATCAGAATTGTTGCATCAGGAATTATCCTAAGTTTGGATTTCATGATACCCAAGGCATATAGGGTCGAAATATCAAACAAGGAAAGTGTTTACACGATTCCTGTTTGTAATCCAGATTTCCAATAACCCTTTTTTTCGTTTTTCTCTAACATGATATGTTGATGATTTAATGAAATTAGAGAGGTCATAGTTACTAATGATTATGATACCTAACTCCAACTAAAAGTTATCCAATTAATGGGTTTGGTAAGTATTTATATATACCTGATGATGTGCAGTGGTTGGCACATGCAAGTTAAGGCCACATTCTCCAAGACTATGTTTACCTAAGGTTGTGTGTATATACTTGAGCTTGGGATATGTGGACCAACCAGGTGTGAAAACCATCATTTGGGGGGCAATACTTGATTGTAACATCATCCAATAATGGCCATTGGAACTCATTCATCCCCAAGAAGAAACCCACAAGTTTTGGTAGATCAACTAGTGTAATGGACTTTAGACGAAGGAAGACCACAACCTCCTTCAATGATGATGATGATGCATCTTCTTCCTTCTTTACAATCACTTGCATTCTGTAGCAGCAATTTATGGTTAACTCTTTGAGCTGTGTCAGGCTTTCAAGTGCATTGAATGTGAATATATGTTCCAAATGGTCACAATATTCAATTTTCAATATCTTCAGATTGGGAAGCATAATAACATTATTTAGTCTTGGAATTCCACCACTTCCTTCCTCACAACAACTGTTGCTGTTATTGATCCCATGAGTTTCAAATAATTCCTTCATCCCAACACACTTATATAAATTCAGCTCTTGAAGCTGTGTACTTGTCCTGCTGCATACCATGGAATCACACTTGACAATGCATGACACCTTGAGATACTTATCTTTCTAGAATATTCACATAAGCTCCAAGGAACACCACCTGCTTCAGAAAACTGCAACAGATAGAAAATTAATGTAAAATTAAACTATATACTTAACATCTTATTTGTTTCTTACATATATACATACATACATACATACACACACTCCTCTGCTATAAAAAAATTAATTCACAATCTAGTTTTTTATACTAACAGTCTAACACTACAAAATAAGGGCGATAGGGGTGACGTCTTTAACTGTGACATGAGCGTCGACACCAATTTGGACATGCTTGATGTCGCCACTAAAGACTTCAATACTCCCAAAAAAATGACCCATGAGAATTTTCCACCACATCTATTCGTGTCGCCACTAAACCCACTTAATATGTCTACACAATTACCTATGCCACCATAATTGCCTCTGAATAGAAAAAATTGGTTTGCTTCTCCTCTTTTCTGCCTGTACGCCCTAAAAATCCTAAAAGTTGGTTGCTTTTAATTTCCGGGGACATGCACTTTAGTTCATAAGCACTGGCAGAGGGTAAGTTTCTGACTCTTCAAAATTTAATGACTAACATTTAATCGTGGGAGTTGTAACCATCACAATGATCAGAATGTGATAATGACTAACCTTTGTGTTTTCAGGCTTGGTTCTATTCTTGTCACTGTTGGTGGCAAAATTGTCATAAGAAGTTGATTTTAGTACATATATTCAGCACTCGGTATGCGTAAGTTACTTGCGTATGGAACTGATTGTGTAAGTTATTTTAGTTTAAACACATCTACACTACAGGAGTATAGGGATTTGAGGGTTTAGTCAACTGGTCATCCATGTTGACTGTATATATCCAAAGAGAAATCCACTTGTATCTACAATGCAGGTATGGGATTAACCCAAAAATTACAGTTTTATGCTGGAGATAATTGATAGTTTGATGTAATGATTATTAATCTTTGTGGTTTGTAATGGTAATTTATTTACTCTGTTATCGATTTTTTCATAATTTAGAAATCAGGTTCATGGTATGAGAACCAGTTCTGGGATTTAAAGAAACGGTTTGTGGACCTGGCCCAATATTTGGGGAACCAATCTTGGGCAATTTGGTAGGTTGCCTAAGGCTGGAGGGTGTGGTGCCACCGAAACCGCACTCTCTCCCCCGCCACATAAGCGTCATGTCATTTTTACCACTCAAGTGTGGTTTCTTGCCACACCAAGGGAGTGGTGCCACACATTCTTTTTTTTTTTTTTTTTTTTTTTTGTGTTTTTAACTATTTTAATTTAATAAAACTTCTATTTTAATAAAAAAATAGAATTTTTCATTACTTGAAAATTAAAACAAAAAATTACGTTGCATTACCAAAAAAAACACAAAAACCACACACATGACATTTAAATAATCCTAGAAACTTAAAAAACACAAATAAAATAACTAAAGCAAACTACATAAAGTCGTTCTCCGAGAACTCGTCTTCGGGGTCATCCGGTGGATCCAAATTAAGGTTAATGTTTTGAACCCCGTAAATGTGTTCCACCAAGTCATTGCGAAGATTGTGAAATGTTTCAGTGCAACGTATCTCTGCTCTCCTGTTTATATACTCTTCGCTAACAATTTCTATTGGTTGTGTCTCTGGTATGGTTTCTTCCTCGTCAAACGCACATATCGCTCTTCCTTCGTCTTCAATAATCATGTTATGCAATATAAGACATGTATACATGATTTCTTGAAGTTTTTCCTCGCCTAAATAAGTTGCTGGTTTTGTCAATATGAACCACCGTTTCTTCAGTGCTCCAAAAGCACGCTCAACATCCTTCCTAGCTCTTTCTTGAGCTCTCTTGAATTTCTTTCGTCTAGAACCATGTGGAGATGTAAACGATTTAACAAACACAACATACTCATAATAGATTCCATCGACCAGATAATAACCATACTTATATGGCGTTCCACGCACTTGAAAAGAAAAATCTGGTGCGGATCCATCGTATATGTTGTTAAATATTGGTGAACGATTAAGAATGTTGATGTCGTTAATCGAACCAGGAGAACCAAAAAAGCATGTCAAATTCACATATCTTGTGATGCAACTGCCTCAAGTATGACCGTTGGGTGACCATGATCACCTCGGGTAAATTGCCCATGATATGATGTAGGGCAATTTTCCCATGCCCAATGGAGACAATCTAAGCTTCCTAGCATTCCAGGAAACCCATGCACACTAGCATGATGAGCTTGCAATTGCAGGATGTCATTACGTGTAGGCTTACGTAAATATTTTGGACCATAAAACTGAATCACAGTTTTGCAGAAAAAATGAAGACTGTCTCGTGTTATCTTAGCAGACATCCTAAAACTTTCGTCTAACGCATCAGGCGGAATGCCATATGCTAACTGACGAAGTGCGGCCGTGCATTTTTGTAAGGGAGTGAAACCGGGTGTACCTCTAGCATCGTAGTATTGTTGGAAAAAACTGCACTCCCTCGTTACATCTTCAACTATACGTTCGAATAAACCTTTGAGCATTCTGAAGCGCCTACGAAAATAATACCATTGATAAGTGGCATTCTCTACAAAATAGTCTTGCACCAAACGTTGGTTGGCTTCTTCACGATTTCTGCAAATATATCTTCGTGTTCTCCGTTGAGAACTTGCAGCGGCGTTGTTACATACAACATTGTATGTTTGTTCTACAATTTGAACACACGTAATAGCGGTATCAAAAATAGTATGAAATTCTTTAGAAGATGAAGAAGATGACATTTTTTAGAGAGTGTTGATTTTTTTAAAAAAAAATTTTGAGAGAGACAAGAGATTGTGTTGTGAAAAAAAAATGATGTTAGATATGTATATATAAGAAAGAAAAAGAAAATATATATATATATATATATATATATATATTATATATATATATATATATATATATATATATATATATATATATATATGGAAAGGATCAAATGAGAACACCTAAAAGGTTGAGAACGCGAGAACAAGTATATTCATTTGTGATTCCATGTATTCATTTATGGAGAAATGAAGTATTTTTTACGCGCAATCAACAGGAATATGCTTTTTCTCTTCAATTAAAATTAAAGGCGTAAAAATTTATCATTTCTCCATAAATGAATACATGGAATCACAAATAAATATACTTTGTTCTCGCGTTCTCAACCTTTTTGGTGTTCTCATTTTGATCCTACTCCTATATATAATATATATATATATATATATATATATATATATAATATATATATATATATATATATATATATATATATTATATATATTAAATACCCAACAACCGACGATCCTCCCTTTTTCCCCTCAACCAATCAGAAAGCGCGGCACTTAAGGACCGCAGTGCGGTCACCAGACCGCGGTCTGGAGGTGGTGTTCATGGTCTACGTGGCACAAAGTGCGGTCTGGGCCGCACCCACACCCTTCAGCCTAA